GTTCTTGTATTTCTTACCTACTGCTGTATCCTGTTGCATCCTGCTACATTTCTTCGCGCGCGACGCCCCTCTCACCGCGACGCGACATTTCCTTCCTAACGCACCACACCTCTCTATCCCCTCCCAATTCTGAGGTTCATCACAATTGGACCGACTGTGGGTGATTTCCCAACACTATGCACCCATCGCTCTTCATGGTGTCCTTCCGGCCACTCCTCAATATCGATCTCTTAGAAGAGTCACAAATAGTTTCACAATGCCTTCTGCCTATCAGATAAACATCGCTAGGGCACCAAAGAGACCATGAGAAAGCCTTTATGGAATGTCATCATGTCTGAAAAAAGGGCGAGTATCACAGTTCACAGTGATGTTGGATGGATAGATTCTGGAATTTTGGGATATACATAAACCTGCTCTGAAAATCGGTTGTTAGGAGAGAAAGAGGAAATCCCACAGGAAAGTGAAGAAATTTCCGTGGGAGTTTGAACCGCTGGCTGGATTTTTGGGTGAACTAGAAGATGCTGAATTGCGTTAAATACCAGAAAGGAGATTGCCTTACCAAATATTCTTTTAGAGTTTCAAAAAATAAGCCTTAACCAAGTATTTTTCAATCATAAAACTGACTTTTAGTGTATCGTAAATACTGATCTCGTTTCACGTCCCATTTACCGAAATCCGAAAAGACTTCCTTCACAGTCTCTAAAAGACTGTCATTTGCAGGTGGGAGAATGATGCTGAAGCCTGAAATATTTTGATGGAGGTGGTCCTTTGACGGCCCTTTAAGAAAAATAGCATTACCTGTTGCTGTAATAAATAGTAGAAGACTGACTGTGGCCTGTTTTGGCTGCATGACTGAGTCATGTTTCTGATAAGCAGCTGATGATAAGGAAGGGGAGGACGGGCCGGTAAACATTTAACACTGCTTACTTCACTGGAACACCATACTTGAAAGAGCTTACCTTCTTGTTTACCTCCTTTTTAACGTAGTAACTTCGATCAGTAATTTGCTCTCGGAAGGTTCCCTGTAGTAGGCGGATGCGCCATATTGGCCCATTCAAATTCGTTTTCGATGTTGTTTTTGATTTGTTGATGTTAGGTGTTTGTGGTAAAAACATTGCTATCTTCAAAGGCAACTATGATGTAAGTAGTACAGTTCTATAAAGAACTGAGAGCACAGCTCCACTTCTTAACTGGCTGTGGAGCTGGTAGGCATATGCGATTTTATAGAGAGTGAATGTGTGAAGTACTAAGGGTTTGGAGCTTATCCCTGTATTTAAACTCCATCACACGGGTAAATTCAGTATCTTGATTAATTACTGAAGGTTCTGTTGCAGGAGGTAGTCTAGTAATGAAGGGTATTAGTTGCAGAATGTTGAAAACGGAATGGTTCTGGACAGCCTCATTCGGAAGCTATGCGCACAAGAGAGGAACGAGGAGAAGGTAGCGGCGATACTTTGGTAGCTTCGCCATCATTTTTCTATTCTTGTATGTTTGTAAGCCAAAGTATAGCAGGATATACAGGCTTGGATAAATTCACTGAAAGCCACTCACTGAAGAAGCTGCATAACAACCATGATCCATTTTAGCCAGAGGATCAAAGTCGCCTCTTTACCATTGCTTTCCCCAAATGACATACTCAAAATTTTCACCCTTGTTCACAAATTGCTTACTCCTTTTCAATCCTGTCCTCAGAGATGTCATCAAGAG